GCTTTTGACACAATAGACCACAACATCCTCCTTCACCACCTGCAATACACCATTGGACTCTCAGGAAATGTTCACAGCTGGTTCACATCATACCTGACTGGCAGAACTGAGCATGTCGCCCTTGGCAGTGCAAAATCTCACACCCACAACGTCACCTATGGTGTCCCACAGGGCTCTGTGCTAGGCCCCATCCTTTTCACCATCTACATGCTCCCCCTTGGAAACATCATTAGCAGATATGGTTTATCTTTTCATTGCTATGCCGATGACATTCAGCTTTACCTCAGGACTAGCCCCACCTCCTCTACTGCTCCTCTGTCAACATCCACACTGACTACCTGCCTGGAGGAGATAGAGGTGTGGATGAGACTCAACTTCCTTAAGCTGAACATATCCAAAACAGAAGCCATCTTAGTTGGCACACCACACCATCTCCACTCTTCTACCATTACCAGTATCACTTTCTCTGGCCAAAACATCCCCCTTTCCACATCTGTCACCAATTTGGGTGTTAAAATGGACCCTCAACTCACCTTTGACACCCACATCAAACACCTCTGTAAGTCATCATTCTACCACCTCAAGATCATCGCCAAACTCCGCCCCAACACTCAGCCTGGCAGATGCAGAGAAGCTCATCCATGCCTTTGTCTCCTGCAGGCTGGATTACTGTAATTCACTCCTCATTGGGATTCCTGGCATGAATATCCAGAGACTACAGTATATTCAGAACAGCACTGCCAGGATCCTGATGAGGGTGCAAAAGCATAACCACATCACCCCCATCCTGAAAGGTCTCCCTCCTCACCCATCAGTGCATCTATGGACATGCCCCCCTTTACTTACAAGAACTCCTCACCCCCCATACCTCCTCACGCACCCTCCGCTCTGTGCACACTAACACCCTCCATGTCCCCAGAACCAAGCTCCGAGGCTGTGGAACGCCCTCCCTGACTATCTGAGAGCCCCACAGTCGACTAATACTTTTAAACAAAACCTAAAAACTCATCTTTTTAGAAAGACATTTTATTAAAGTATTTTATAGATCATCCTGTTTTATTTCTTTATTTTTACTCTGTAGCACTTTGAGATATAAAAATATAAAATAATAAAATTTATTATTATTATATTCACGGTCGGGCTGCTACAGCCAAACCTTTGGTCACTCATGCCAATGCCAAACGTCGGTTTTTTTTTTGCAGATCCCTCACCCATTTAATCAACAGGGTTCTTTTTTTTTTTTTTTAATGGTGCCAGCAACGCAAATCTTGGGCTGTAGATAATGTGAAACATGTATTGTTCTTTGATGTGTCCACCTTCACTGTCTTTCAGTCTTACAGTTACAGTGTGGAAAAGTTCCAAAGCGGGTCACCACTCGGACTGTTGTGTACCCAGAGTGGAGCACGGGGGTGGACCAGTGATGGTCTAGACTGCAATATCATGGCATTCCCTAAGCCCAGGACTTGCTAGATGTGCGTGTCACTGCCAAGGACAACTAAACCATTCTGGAGGACCATGTTCACCTACAGTTCAATCATTGTACCCTGAAGTTGGTGCCATGTATCAGGATGATAATGCACCAATACACACAGAAATACTGGTGGCAGAGTGGTTTGATGAACATGAAAATGAAGCTGAACATATCTCAAGGGCTGTACAGTTACCAGATCTGAATATTATTGATCCTCTTTGGGGTGTTTTGGAGGAGCGAGTCAGGAAACGTCTTCATCCACCAGCATCACGTAGTGACCTGGCCACTGATCTGCAAGACAAATGGCTCAAAATCTCTCTGGCCACTGTGCAGGACTTGTATCTGTCATTCCCAAGACAAACTGATGCTGTACTGGCCGCAGAATGAGGTCCTACACCATACTAATAAATTATTGTGGTCTTAGATTTAGTTATTCAGACAAATGGACAGACACATTGCCTTTGGATTGGAACTGCTCCTGTGTTAGTGCAGTTTAAATAATAAATACATTTAAAAAAAAATCTTTTTTCCCTGCTCTTCCAAAATTGCACCAGACCGTGAACCCAAAACCGAGGTTTGCACTGAAATATAATTCCATTGCACAATTTTTGCTCCACTACTTTCCCCCACACTGCAACTTCAAAGTTATTGCCGGTGCTTGTAGACAAACAATCAGCACGATAATCATCTGGTTCCTGAAAAAAAGTCCTGGTTCTGGAAAAAAGATCCTGTCCTGGGAAAGTTCCTAAAATGTAGAGGTACACAATGTATCGGTTCATGGGTCAATTACAGCTTGGCCCACTGGGTCTGGGCACAGGGGCCCCAGGGCCTTAGGGGGGCCCCGAGCGAAGTCCCCCACCATGTGAAGGCAGTCCATGGGCATTTTTAGATGTAGATGTCCGGCGAAGAGACGGTTTTCCATTGTAAAGTATGTGAGCTGTATCTGACCTATAGCCCTGCTGTCATGGTCCTGCTTACTAGCACAGCCAAAAGACTGACCAAACCTATCTGGGTGTGTCAGCACTATCTGATTGGTGGAAATGCACAGACAAGAAAGATCCAGTGTTCTACATTAACATACATGGATTATCTGAAGGAATAAAGGGTATATTCTATATATATTTCATTATTAGTAGCATTGCACATCACGATGTATGTATACAGTCCCGAAAACTCGGAACTTAAAAATTTCCAACCTCTTACTTATAAAAGTAATATAGAACAACTGAATGAAATGGATTCATGATGGAAATTTATGCAAGCTAATGCAAATTCTGCTAGCATTTGATGCTAACATAACAGCGATTCACACAGGGCGCTTTCATATTGCAGGAACATTTTTTTAGGAACCAGAACTTTTTTCCGGTACCAGAACTGTTGTCATGTTCACAACACAGAAACTCCACCAGATTTTAATTCCTTGGAGTCGGTTCTGGAACCTCTTTTAAGTCTCATACTGGAGTTCCGTGACCCTGAATAGGACAAGCGGTTACAGAAGATGGACGGATGGATGAATATTCTGGAGTAGGCACTTTTCACTGGAACACTGGGGTGGGGCTTATAGCAATAACTTGCTGATTGTTTGACCACAAGCACTGGAACTGACTTGGAAGTTATGTGGAAGTACTGGGAAAAGAGATACAAGCACCGGAGCAAAAACTGAGCAGATGGGATTATTTTTGTACCTCAATTACATTTAATGCATCAGTGAAAACATTTTTGCTTGTGTCTCCATATTTCTGCATTTGAAAAGTGGATCAATAACAAATGTACTTTTCTGAAATAACTCCAGTGGCATTTTTTATTCTGTGGAAAACGAAAGATCAATCTTCTGGCCAGATTCAGTAAAATAACACGGGCCATATAAATAAAAGACTGTATGTATTTTGATTGTGATCATTTCCCCATTAACTAACAAATACCAAGATGTTCATTCTTCATTGTTTTTGGGTGGTGGTGTAGTTTTGTATGAATTTATGAAGTTTAGCCTATAACTTTCTTTGTATCTCCCATTCTTATTTAGCATGATGGTCCCAGTTCCTGTTCTTTGCTGTGAAAGCGGCACATGAAAGTGGCCACGAGCTACAAAAGTCCCTGGTAGAGACAGCCGGGGAACTTGTAACCAGGAACCATGTTGCAGAACTTTGGTGTGAAAGCACCCACAGACAGAGTGCAAATTAGACTCTGAAGCTCTGTTCCCTGTTTGTGAAGGCAGTCAGCAATCATTTTCAGATAAAATTCTCTGGTACTCTGGACAGCCCAGAGGGAAGAAGTGACATAACGTATATGGCAGAGGGGAGGCCTTGAAAGGTTTGTGCCCTGGGGCCCGTGATTTAATCTGCCAATGTACTGGTTAAATTACCAATACTGCTGGCTGATATTAAAGCTTTATCAGTATTCAAAGTTAGCAGCACCAAAGCTAAAGAAACAACTACTAAAATAATGGAGATGATTGCATTGGAGCAATTTTCCATAGTGGAGGACGGAGGACTTTGTCAGCCCATTCAGCAATTAAAAGAGGCACCAACCCATCACATGTTTATAATTCAGTAGTAAATCTGGCCTGTAGGTCGACCTTTCATATTCCACACAATAATAAGTGATGTAACATCATTCCAATAATCTGCACCGACAAGCTCTGCAAGTTTCTCAGACAGCCGACGCCCTGGGCTTGCTGTAACGAACATTCACCATGACGTCAAAGCTGACAGCAAGGAAGTGCTACAAGGGTTTCATACAACTGAGAGTCAGAGATTCAACTACAAGTAGGTACATGCCGGATGGGGGGGTGTCCTGCCATTTAGCCTGAATGACTGAACTGAAAGTGCCTCCCTTTTGAGGTCCTGACTGCTCATTTCCAATCACCAAATTAAAAATCACCCGCACATTGAATTTTGTTGATAGCATTGAAGAAGTGAAGTTAATATTTGATACTTTAACATCAAAGCCATTATTTAATTTCAGATCCATTGTGAGTATTTTTCATGCTGTTTCTATTAATTTAAATACAGGTATAAAAATAAAGGTATGAGACCTGCCATTTCTACTGTATTCTACTGATCTTTTACTCTCACACATAAGCCCACACATTATCAAAATCTGCCTTACAATGAATTGTATTTTTAAATTAGACAAAGACCTCTGGTGAACAAATCTATGTTGCTCTAACTGTCTTGCTGGGGGTAAAAAACACAAAATAATACTTTAGTCTTTGGGGTTGAAGTTCGCTGGTTTTATAGGCCTACCTGAATTGGACATTTTTGTTCAAAATACACTGGGGGCTGCGTGAGCTACAAGTTAGAATTTATTTTTATAATTATATTACACAGCTGATAGGTTTGCATTTTATAGTCAGGCACGTAGCTAAGTAGTCAAAATATGGGCTTGAACGCCGAACCTGCTAAGAAATTTGCCGATCAGACACCAGCTGCAACATTAAATCACCGGCGCCGCCGCTCTATATAAGTGTGTTACACATGCTTATTTTATTAATAATTGTATCTGTTAAATATAATCTTACCTTGCAATCGGTCTTTGACAGTTGACGTCACACTCGCTATAGTCGCAGTGTATTGTGGGTCTAATCGCCATTTTGAAGGTATATAACTCAAGAGCAAGCGTTTGCGTCCGCCATTCTCCTTTGTAAGATGGGATACTCGTGTTGTGTGAAAGGCTGTCATACGAAATCACATGGCAGAAAGGTGGACCACAAGATAAGATTGTTCCGGATTCCCACTTGGAAAAGAGAATATGGACGGCAGGTAGAGGAGGTAACAAAGAGGCGTCGGATGGCCTGGGTCGCAGCGGTGAGACGCAAGGAGATCACGTTCAACAAGATATCTCCGTTCATGCGTGTTTGCTCTCTGCATTTTCATAAAGGCAAGTAAGATGTTTCTTGTTTGAGTAATATTGCTGGATATGCATTTTTTTGTACTCTAAAGTTGCTATTTTCACATTGGTTAACCTACGCTAGCAAGCTAGCCTCACTACGGAGGGTAGCAGAAACGGGTTAATCTGTTCGTGTTAAACTAGTGTTACAGATTGAATGCTTTTTAAAGTAAACGGCAAACTGTGATGTCTATCAATGTATGTATGTGTATATTCGCGTGCATGGATTTTTCCTGTTTTTGGCATATATAGACATACGTTTTATATTTGGGACGTGTTCGTTTAAGAACGTGTTCATTTAAAAACTTACAATTTGCTTGCAGGACAACCAGCTTATGAAATGATGGAGACTGACCCTGACTGGGCACCATCCCTACATCTGGGGCATACATATGTTACACCCACAGACATTGCACGCTTTGAAAGACAAAGTAGACGTGAGCAGCAACGGAAAGAGATACTGCAAGCAGCAGAGATGGGGGTCGACAAGGATGCAGAACTTGGAGAGCTGCAGAGTGAGGATGGCACACCAGAGCCTGGTGGTGAAAGCAGCCAGCAACAGACTGAGGATGGGACACCTGACACTGGAGAAGATGGTGGTCAGCTATATGCCGAAGAGTGGACACATGAGGCAGTAGGAGAAAGTGATGAGCTCATCACTGAGGATGAGATACAGAACAGCAGTCATGACGTGGCACAGACTGAATGTGAATTGTGTGTGCTCAGGCGTGCAGAAATAAACCACCTGTTGGAAGAAAACAGAGAGCTACGACGTGAACTCAATGAGTGCAGGATATCTGATGATTTCTTTGGAGAGGACGATGAAAAAGTAAAGTACTATACAGGTCTGCCAAACCTGGGAACCTTTATGGCATTATTCAGGTTTTTGGTACCTCTCATGCATGGTCAAAGGAAAATTCTCACCCCATTTCAAATGCTCCTGTTAACTTTCATGCGCCTTTGATTGGATCTGCCTCCACAACACCTAGCTCATCTGTTTCGGATTTCCCCAAAGACAGTGTACAGAACATTCAATGAAATGGTGTCATTTTTACATGCAAACTTGAGCCATTCTATTGTATGGCCAGAGAGAGAGACACTGCGCAAAATTATGCCTCATGAGTCTGTGGAGGCCTTTGGACACAGAGTGGCAGTGATTATTGACTGTTTTGAGATTTTCACTGAGAGACCATCAAATCTGAAAGCACGTGCCCAAATGTTTTCCAGCTATAAGCACCACCACACTATGAAATACCTGATAGGTATTACTCCCAAGGGAGCCATTTGTTTTTTATCAAAAGGCTGGGGAGGTCGTACAAGTGATAAACATATAACGCTGAACAGTGGTTTTCTTGCTAATCTGTTGCCTGGGGACATTGTCTTGGCTGACAGAGGTTTTGACATACAGGAATGTGTGGGCATGTTGTGTGCAGAGTAGGGATGTGCGGATCGATCCTAAAGTATCGATATTTTCGATACTGGCATTGTATCAAACAGATAGATTCTCAAATAGAAATATCGATTCTATCTGTTTTTTTAACGTGTGATTTTAAGACATTTTAATAATGGTAGTACGCCGTATATTGTTTAAATATTTATTTAAATAGGAACGCAATGAGAACTACATTTTCCGCTGTGTCTCCGCTTGTCAATGCAGCGCTCGCTCACTCTGTCAAAGGCGAACACGCGCAGCGCGGGCTTAAAAAGGGAGGCGAGTGCGCGGTCATGACTGAAAGAAAAAGAAGCATGATCTGGAGTTATTTTACTCCAGTTAACAATGATGAAGCTTCATGTGACGTTTGTCAAAAAACAGTACGCCACTGTGGCAATACCACAAATATGATAAAGCATCTAAAAGTAAAACACCCTAAAGAGCACGACGAAGTACACCTGAGGCGAGCAGAGGAGGTAACAGAGACACGACCCCCATCTTCTTCTGGTTTGAGGCAGAGTTCTTTAGCAGAATCCTTTCAGAGAGGTGGACATTATCCAGGTATCAAGTGGTGATTAAGTTATTTGATTACAAAAAGTCAAGTAACATTTATTTATATACTTTATACAATGCAGATTATTTCATATGAATATATTTTATTTCATGGTAAGCAGAATAGTAAACTGCATATGAGTAACTTGTTAGGCTATAAAAGTGATTTGATTGAAGTGATTGATAAATATTTAAACTGGACATTTTAGTTTAAACTAGGATTTTTATTAAAACATTTAATCCTTTTTTTAGCCTCTCTATTTTTGTTACCTAGTGTCTTGTGGATATTCTCAATTGAGTAGTTTATATATTAATTATAATTTAAAACTTAAATTAGTTTAACTGTCAAGTAATACCTGGGACAGATTTACCAAATTCTTACTGCATGAAACACAGCTTTAAGAACATAATGTGTATATGTTATATTTCATAGATGCCTCTCAGAGAGCATTGGCTATCACAAGAAGCATAGGCGAGATGAATGTGAGAGACCTCCAGCCAATCTCAGTGGTAGAAGACAGAGGATTTATTGCACTTGTTTTATTGCACTTGATCCACGCTACCAAATCCCTAGCCGGAAAAAGCTAATGGAGGGTATAATAAACAACATGTATGAAAGCTGTAAATCCAAAGTAATGGCAAAATTACAAAATGAAAACAATGTATTACTCACAAAGGATATGTGGACCTCAAGGTCCACAGAGGCATATCTAACTGTGTCCTGTCATTTTATTAACAACTGGCAAATGCAGGAATTTGTGTTAGAAACCTGCCATTTCAGTGCACAGCACACAGCTGACAATATTAGTGCAGAGCTGAAAAGAATAGCTGAAGAATGGGGCATAACTCAAAAGGTGCTTGCAGCTGTCACAGACAATGGTGCGAATATGGTTTCTGCAGTGCACAAGGCTGGGTGGAAGCATTACCCATGTTTTGCCCATACATTAAACTTGGTGGTCAAAGATGCAATAAAAGTATCACCTGAGATCTTTCACCTGCTAGAAAAATGCAGAACCATTGTATCATTTTTCCACCACAGCACAAAAGCCACAGAGAAGCTTAAACAGATCCAAAAGCAACTGAAGGTGACTGAACATAAACTCATTATTTCAGTTGAAACCAGGTGGAATTCAGCTTTCTACATGTTGGAGAGGCTACAGGAA